GTAGCAGAGAATCATTATACCGCCAACCGTTTTTCTGAGAAGCTCAGGTAAAAGAATACTTACTGAAACTCTTTTTCACCTAAAGAGTTTTTGAACTTTCAGAAATGCAATTCATCTTACACCGAAAAGATAATAAGCACCGTACTTGTGTCTTATATTTGTTGACAGACGATTTAAGAGAACGGGGTATCTGAATATGCATGGGAGTTCGCTTATTCTGGCATCCGGGCACGGATCACTGATTATCAGCTTTGGCTACTTGCATTCAAATACGAGATAGTGCCAATGATCTTTCAAACCGGCAACCTATTCCACCTAACCATGCATTTCGAATAAGGTAATGGGCCTAAGGAATGCGTTAACTTCGGATTGGTCGGTTGTTTAGTTGTTTAGTTGCTTTATGATTAGCTGTATTTTACGGTCAATTAAACGCCCTCTTCAGTCTACAATCCTGATTTCACGCCACGTAGTAAGTCAGCCTAGGTTTGAAAACCGAAAACCACTGTGACTGAGTCATCTTTTCCGAAAATTGAGAAGGCCTCTGCATTGGCTGATGAAAGGTAATAAGCTACTTCTCTGTCTGTCTGATCCTTCATACGAGAATTTTCTCATAGGATAGTCCCGTTTGGTTCGGCCCATCTAGAATCTCTGTTAGTGAAATGACTATTGCATATTTCAAGAATTTTCCGATCGAACCTAGGACAAGGACGTCCTGATAAGGCTGACATAAGAGAACTAATTATTGCGTGTATCAAAAATATTTTGTGTTTTGACTGAATGCAGCAGAGAAAGAATTTTCATGGAAAAATTGACACAACGCGGATATTTTGCGTTCACAATCATCTGGAATGATACATTCGTGATGCGCCAAACAAGAAAGTACAGGACGATGTGCAAGAAAAAGTTACCGAATGTGTGGAAGAACCTCAGGGAGTTTACTGTAGTCGGGCGGGACTCCAACTTTGTCGTATTCCAATTCATGTAGTAGACTTGAGTAATCCACTGCTTGAGCTTTGAACCAGTCTGGCAAAATTGACTCGGAGCTAGCCCATTTGGACAGAGAGTCTGTATTTATTTTTCTTGAGAATTGTTTTGTACTGGCCTCGTAACTGTGAATGAAATCAAAATAGAAGTAGAAGGTGATAGCGTAAGACAAAAAACAAGGCCACTTTCCAAACATAGCATTCTGAGACTTCACAACTAAACACACAGTGATATACAGTTAATTCACCTTAAACAGACGTTCCATCATGTTTGTGATTGGGATTAGTTGGCGTACCACGAAAGAATGTGGCATTTTGCACAAAAATGAAGCATACAATAGCTTTGAAGCGCTTCTAGGATGATTGATCAGAATATCGAGTTTCGATTAAGTATACTACAGAACACGAAAGAAAAATCGATAGTGCACATTAGTAATCGCTCTCAACAAACTGTCTAAATCGGCTGAGTAGTAAGTCGTGCAAGATGTGGGAAACCTAGTTGACAGGGAGTTTGTTTGGTCTTTAATCACTTTGGGGTAGGCACCTACTGATTCGCCAAGAGACCCCTCATATTTAAGAGTGCACGTTAACAGTTTCGACTTTAAGTACTGAGTGTAATGCTGCAAGTTGAATTTCCCTTTTAGACTAAGTTTCCTGCCAGGGTTTTTAAAGACATTTTGGAATGTAATGAATACTTTTTGCACTGACACTCCGTGATTCCGAGAAGTGTAAATGAGGGCAGCTATTGTTGAGGAAC